GATTACCTTCCACGTTTCCTCAGGTTGCGTGCATGCATATTGATGCCACGGAATATCAGTCTCCTGCGCACCTGACCATGCTCTATTGTGTGGCACATCGTAATTGGCGTCAGAGGAGCCTGCAATATATATTTGTGGGCGAATATGAGCACGTGCCACACATAACACGCACGCAACTGACCTCCACACCCAGGGTTGTGTAAGCAAGCTCACCGTCCAGGTGCGTGTGGCGGCTGGTATATGCTGCGCGCAGGTAATTCGAACCGCATGCATCGGTGATAGTTCAAGCTCGTTAAGCATACGCATGGTACATATACGCTCTATTGTGCTCCTATTGTCGTAGCTAATCACACAAATCCGGATTCACACAAATCCGGATTGTCGTAGCTAATCACACAAATCCGTATTCCCACAAATCCGGATTGTCGTAGCTAATCACCCAAGGAGGATTTGTCATTAGCACTGTACACCGTGCGCGGCGCTGTGGTGTCGCGCAATGACGTGCATGCTCGCGGAAACTTGAACTTTCATGGAACTTCCACACATATAGTCCCAGCTATGGAGTGCGTTGCGCACGTCATGTGCCTTCTTCAGTGATCACTAATGCAATTACCAGCAGATGGAGATTAGACATACTATGGAAATGAAAAACTTCGGCTCCCCTTTCATCGGAACTAGTTCTATAGTTGAAACAGTAAATGTACTTTACTCACGGATTCAAACTAGACATCCATTTTCGTAGGATGATGATTGGCATGCGTGATTTCGCACGATAACTGTGTTATGTGGCAATGAACCTTGGTTGTAAAGATAATGTTGGCTGTAATACGTGTTCGATCCGAACTTACGACGATAAGGTCCGAACCGCAGATGGTGCAAGTGAAAGATCGTGCGTTACTTAGCCATAATACGTCTTGTTTCAATGCTTCAGTGCTATGCAACGATTAATAATGCTGGTTCCAAATTTCGCTCTACACTCTTACTTCGTTTTACGCCTGAATTTGAATGTAAAACAAATAAGCGCGCGCAGTTTGTGACAAAATTGATTTAACTAAATCTACAAGTGTCACTTGTTTTTTTATGCACGAGATACACCGCTATATTGCAGTATGCAGTTAAGTGGACCTGAGCTAATAACATACGTTCTTGAACACATGTCAACATATAGGTAAGACGAGAGACAGTGTGTGCACGAAACGCGTATACGTAACCTGCGATTCAACAAAGATCGGTTCATGCACAACTTAATTACATGATTTAGCGTGAGAAAATATTCTAGAACAACTTCTAGCCCCGCGCTTGCACCTGTAGATGTTAGTTTGTCTATTTGAAAAAAAAATAGTAAGGAGTGTTAGCCTCCGCAAGACGCTTGCGCACTTCATGTTTGCATTCCTGAATTTCAAAATGAAACCCCCAGCGTGCTACGAGTTCTACATGTGCATTCACTACATGTCACCTGGTGAAGCTTTTGCAGCGTCAAAGCACGTCTTCGCTGCCACATTTGATACTTCGTAAAGTATAGTACGGTAGGCTATACATATTATTTTGAAGATCAGCCTGAAGATCTTGAAATTCTATTTAGGCAAGCATTACAGATAAGCTTGTCGAAGAAAGATCAACTCAATTTTTTTTTCTTTTTGCGCTGAACTTGGTCGCTGAGAGCTACATCATTCACAGGGGACGTACTTTGGCACTCCGGTTTATATGGGGAAACAACCTGTTAAGTCATAACGTGGACCAATACTGTCAGTACGCAGAAATGAAGACACGAAAATCGTGATGTAGTCGTAGAGGCCATAATTGTTACGGAGGAACCAGCGGTGCTGCCAAAAACGAAATATGTTGGAAGCAAAGAAAACGTTAATTCTCGACTTGTCGAGTCTAGAGAGATTGGCGCTTCGCAGACGATTCGCTTATATATGATTGCCTGGCTTATTGGAGGGACTTGTAGATACCCTTCGCTGGTGACTTTCCTAATCTTTCTACTGAGTAAGGATGTCATTATTAGCCGGCCATGGTGAGAATATGAATACGTTGATGTGGGCTGCAGAAAAGGAAGAAGGCTAGGTGCACCAGTCGGCCACCATTTCGATTGCTCCTCTTTGTACATCTCTCTACTATAACTATGCCGTAATATATAGGCCATGTCTAAACTTTTCGCCGTAAGGAATCGAAGCACCAGATAATTAAGATAACAATCAGCATCGTCTGTGTGTGCGATTCGCCTTTTGCACAAATTTTTACTGACGGCATGGTCTATCAAGCGACCGTTGTCGACTTGAGACTGGTACCACTCTTATTCACGTTACGGTCGGCTCACGGTCTTCATCTTTCTTAACGCACGAAGTCAAAGCGAGAGAAAGTGTGCCACCAGCTGTCCGATGAAAGGGTGCGCCGCTTCCCAGGGTTCCTCGCGCAGCTGCTTTTCGGGCGCGCTACGAAAGGCACAGAGAAAGCCCACGGCTTGGCTTGGTCAATTAGCCGAAAAGAGTGCATTCGAGTCACAAGACAGAAGCGGCTTTGCGTCACCTCTAAACGAGAAAAGGCCGCGCCACTCTAAAGCCTCGAAGGACCACGTGACCGACGTCATACACGGAAACGACTCTTGATTTACAGCGCCCACTAGAGGCGACCGTGCGAGATGTTTTCGCGTCCGAGAAAAGGCAAGCGCCTATGAATAGAAACTCGCGAAGAAGCCCCAACTTCGAGCCTTTTTTTTTAACCTCCTGTTCGCTTTGACAGCGGGTACTAGTTCAAAAGTTTCGCGGGTGCATTTACAGCATGCAGCGTGCACGGACACGTCCTATATAGAACCGCTGGCTCCTGCAGGTGCTTAAAGTCGGGCCCCCGCTCCCCTTTTTGAAGCCGCTCAGCCAAAGGAGACGTTTAAAGAGCGCGATGGATGCCGTTTGCCGCACAAAGGCAACTGGATGGAGCAACTGATTTTCGTTCCTTTGTGTACGCATATTCGCGTGCAGTTCGCGTAAGAAACGCCGAGGAAAGCAATTCGCCGACGACGATGTCGCAGATGTCTCCGTTTCGGTTTCGTATATTCCATGGGTCGGGGAATTCAGGCATGCATCACGCTCTTCAATAGGTGGCTTTTTTTTTTCTAGCAGCTAGTTCATGATGCCTTCAGATTGGATGTTTTGTTCAATGTGTATATACGGCAGGTGGGTATATACGTCAAAATTTGGCGTGACGTCGGAAATGAAGAGATACCCATTTATTTATAGGGTATAAGCAACATTTCGAGACGGTAACGTATCTTCCTTCAATGGAAGTGCTTCTCAGAAATTGAAAGCCACGACAGTTTGTAAGAAACGAGAGTTCATGCGTGAAAAATAAAGTGAGAGAGATTTTCCATCGAGCGTATACATACGCCGCGACAAAATGGTAAGGTGTGTCAAACTCGTTTTGGGTTGGCAAAATGAGCTCCTGGAGGTTTATTGCTATTCTCTATCATACTCGTATCAATATTGCACGTTTCCAAGGTGTTTTGATTCTCCGAGGATCACTTGGTGTCAGTGGCTACAACTTCACCGTAACAATGGCAAGAAACGTGAAAAGGTAAAGCGCTAGGCAGTCCTTCCAAGATATGTAATCAGACTGTTCTTCAAAAAAAATGCTCTAAAAAGAGACGTTCGAGTCAAACGTTTTCTAACAGAGGGAAAATATGTTACTACGTGTGTTAGTCACACAAAAAGTTGTTATATCACAAAAATGAAGACAAAATACCATGGCCCAGCATACGCCGTACGTATAGAGCTGGCTGCAGCTGTCACGTAGGCGCTGTATACTATAGTCAAATGAATTGTTACCCATGTTACATTGTGGGACAAAACGTCGTTAGATGGCCAAACAGGAACAGGCTAAAAGTGAATGCATATGTTTGTGATTGCCCCGGATGAATCCTACAAACAAAGCCACATTCTAGCTGTAATTTTAAGGTACGCTGCATTCTTCGTACTTAATCTATGCATGACTGCGTGCGTTTCTTTTACACGCGAACAAAGCATCCGAACGACGTCGGTGAAATGCTCTTGTTTATGGCGAACGGCAAATCTTGTACAAGTACAGGTGCCCCAAAAGTAATGCCGAGCTTATGAGCTGTAGTGGCTGCAGAGTGTTGAAAAGGGCGTGCCTGCAGCTCTATATCACAAGATTAGCTGGAGATAGTGAAACTGCGTTGATCCATTTGGCCGACTCATCTTGATATTTTGATGCTCACGTTGACGCCGGCTCGAGTGAAACCGCATTGATATCGGCACCGATTCCTCATTGGAGAAAGCGGTGGCATTCTTGGCCATGAAAAAAGCAAATTTCCCCGAACATTTCTTAATGACGCGTGGAAACAAGTGCATAACGTGGTGATAACGTTCTGGGACGAGCAGCCATATAGCACAAGCGCGGCAATGGAAGCGTAAGTGTCAAGAAAACAAAAACAAAATAGAAACGTTTGCTTTTCTCTCCCGCTGTAAAAATGTAGCGATGAGCTTTTGGCGCAATTGGTGCAACACATTTACTAATTGCCCGCTATATTAATTGCCCGTGCTCAGGTCTCCCATGTCACGACGTCAGGACAGCAAACATATGAGCTTGTGTAAAGATGGAATCTCGGGCAAGTTGTATAGATTCCTCTTGTTTAATAGGACGCACCAGACACAACGACATAGTACAGTATCAGCGCGTGCATGTTTTTTACTCTTCATCGTCGTCTTGTGTGCGCTGCACTAACCAAGATATTAGCTCGTCGTTGATCTGATCACAGAAAAGCTTTACAGGTTCCCTGTCCCCAATTTGAGTGGGGAACAGAGAACGAGCTTCCGCGAATGCTCAGTGTTATCCAGCCAGTTCTGCAGATTTATTGACGGCAGAGTTTTTATATTTATGGAGTTTATTATTTACGTGTACAGAAAGTTAAAGAAACAAACATTCTGTCTCCTACCTATTGAGAAATACGAAGGCGACTTGTTTTGACGTTCCCGCAATCATTACAGTTGACTGTATCCTGCGCACAGGTCGCATCCTGCTGGACATGCCGTGCAAGGTGTGCCTCGACCACTCTTCGGGAAAGCACTACGGGATATTCGCCTGCGACGGGTGAGTGAAGCGTCTCTATTTTATTGATACTGGAGAAATGAGCAAGGTGAACAGTGTTTCTTGATCCTTAAGTGTCTTTCAGGAGGAAATCTATGAAAAAAAAACAAACGAGCAGAGACGTGGCAGTTGAGTTAATGTGACAATTACCATCATCAGCCTCACTGTATACGCCCATGGCAGCACAAAAGCCTTTCCCAGTCAACCTTGTCCTGTGCTTGCTTCTGCCACTTTACACCCACAAACTTCCTAATCTTGTCTGCCCACCTAACTTTCTGTCTTTCTTCAACTGCTTGCCATCTTTTGGAAACCAGTCTGTGACCCCTAATGACCAGCGGTTATATTGCCTTCGCGCTACGTCAGTTAATGTGGCCCTCTTTAAATGGGTACGTGGTTCTTAACAAGAGCTCCCAACACTCCACCCAGCGCCTCTTCCTACTTCGAAATAGCGTCTCTGATCGTACTTCCATCCCTAAAAGTCATTCACGTAGCAGCTGCCGGACTGTGGTAACCACCTGTATTGTGTAAGAAAATTAAACAAAGAATTAAAAGTAAGTCTTGTATTATATGCATGAAGCTCGACTTTTACCTAGCCGAATTTCGAAAGCCAGAAAGGAGTGTGTCCCTTTCGGGAAAGAGGCAATATCGAGTCGCCTCGTTTCCCCAGCAGCTGGGTATAATGGGCGACGGGCCACTGCCCCACCCTCCGCTTTATATTCGCGAAAAGCAAAAAAAAGAGAAGAAGTTGAATGCATAAATAGAGGAGAACTTTGGGTGCCGCAAAAGGGGGGGTCGGCGGCGAAAGAAGCACTGCAGGCGGCTGCGCGGTTGGAAAGCGCGAAAAAAGCGAAGCTTTCACTGACGCGGGCTGGTATCAACACCGGCATAATCACTATGCGAGAACGCGCTTCCCTACCTCTCACCCACTTATTCTCTTAATGCGACCGTGAATACGGGTCGCTTCTTTGTTGCAGGCGGTTGCGAAATTAGGCTCTCCTCGCTTCCTCTGTCTTACATTCGGCTATATGAATCCGTGCAAAGTGTCAAAAAAAAAAAAGAATGGGAACAGAAGTGTCCTCGGGAGAGGAAGGGGGTGTTCACGCGATCTTACGTCGGGTGAGCGAGTTCGATGTCCCGTTTCCTTCCAGTTTCACGGTCACCCGAAGGGCGTCAAGAGTGTGCGAGCGAATTTGTCTTGAGCTAAATTCCTGCGTGAGCATTGAATAATATTGGGCTCGGAATGGCCTTCTAGTATTGCCGAACACGTTGTTGCGGCAGAAGGCTACTATCAACTGCAGGAGAGCTATGCAAAGCTTATGCGTATCGTGTGCATTGCTGAGTCCTCACGGCATGGATTGTGATTCTCTCCAAAGTTATAGATAATTATACAATAGCTGTGAACCGTCCCACAAACTAGCCTAATGTGGATAATAGTGGCCGCACATTGATATGTTTTAGTCATCTTCGACCAGTTGCGATCGGTAAGCTGTGTACATGCGCATGCACTGCAGTAATGTACATAGGCGCTGTGTAACAAATGAGTTTCTTGGATATAGCCTGCGCATTTCGCAAAGTTCTTTGGAAGCAGATGACTTCACTTGAGTGAAAAAAAAATGAAAAGGAAGACAAAAAAATCTGGCGTCTCATTACCGTTCGTTCCGTTTGCAATTTATTTTCTCATCAATTTCATAATCGTCATCTTCATCCCACCTCGTGCCCAAGGCTGCTTGAAGGCATCTGACGATGATCTCTGATTTGGCCTGTCCTGCGCGACCTCATTCCATTTTATTGCCGCATATTGTTAATTTCATCAACCTATTTAACTTTCTGTGGTCCTCGACTCCGTTTTCCATCATGTGGTATCTGTTCTGACCCTCTAGATGACTACCTGTTCTCTAACCTTCGCATTATGTTACCTACAGAGGTGTTTCTTTTAACGTCAGCTATGTGTTGTTACGATGAGATTGGTTTATTTACCGATGGGATGATGAAAAAGGAGTTAGAGGCTGCCGCGACGACACCCACCTGCTACAAAGATCTGCCCTCTTTGTTCACGTCGTCTTTTGTCTTCGTTCACCAAAGCGCAGCACTATAGTATGAAGTCTACTGGGGCGAGTAAGGCTGCGGCATCTCCGAGTCACGGAGATGAGAGGGTTTTATGCGGGTGACGGGAACAAGTTACGTCCGCCTATAGATATAGCCGTGAGATAGGAGACGGGCAACCGAATACATGAGGTCACTTAAGGTATATACCTATCAGTTGTCTGCTTCCCATTGCTATTTTGCACTCTTAATCAAAAGGTTATAATTTGTTATGCCCGCCGTAACCGAATGTGTCAAACACTATGCTGTTCTTAACCGCTTGTCAAATATTTTTTTTAATCCTTCACGCTTCGACAAATGTAAGGCAAATTGCACGTCTCCACTTTTTTTCATTTACGTGTCGTGTCAACTCCTGCTGTGCGATTCCTCACTTTGAAACGCTTATATAGAGTGGTGTAATTGGAGTGCCAAAAGAAGAAAGCTTGGGGATGTAGCACGAAGTTTCACTATTTGAGTGCGGACCGAAACGCTTATCGCCCGCCTCCTCTAGAATTTTTTTTTTCTACCTCGCGACATCTGCGTGACGCTGGTGAAAAGAGCCGTGCGTGATGTAAAAAGCTGTCTTTCTAACTTAGCACACGTGAGCGCGCTGAAACCTGAATGGTCGAGGGAGGCGAACGAACAAAGTGACGCAAAGAGTAGCAGAGCTTCGCCGCAGGAGGCGATATTATAGGAGCCGACCTAGGTACTATACAATGCGCATCTACGGCGGCTCAAAGCCACGCGGGACACGCGCAGAAGCCATCCGGTTGGATACTACCCTGCTGTATCACACAGCGACGTAGTATAGAGCACACCGCCTTCACGCTTTCTATCCATAGATTTGAGATTGCATTTTTTGTGCGTTTTTGTCGCGTCTGCGAGACGAGTTTCGCACGAACGAGTCGTTTGAGTGGGCGCTAAGCCGGTGGGTGGTGTTTTGTGCGGCCATTTCACGTCAGGATCCAAAACTAAACGTACGTGCACAGCTGGGACAATTCCGTGCAGCGCGCGTGAGTGTGAGGTTCCGGAAGGGAAGCCCTCGACTAAGGGGAATGAAAGCAAGCGGTATTCAGCCAACCGCCGCCGTCCGTTTTCTTCGGTCCAGGCCAAAACGATCTTTGTTGTTCACGCTTGACTCGTAAATGCCTCGTTGTGGTTTTAATCGCCAATGCGACGGGTCGGCGACCACGTCACAACAAGATCTTTCCCAGCCTTTCGACGTCTCGTGTGGATTCTACGAATTGAGCAAACGCGCCGAACAGCGTGCAGTGACATTGCGAAGCAGGAAAAACAGCCATGGGAAATGCCCTTGACTAACAAGCCGAAACGTTAAACATTTTCTTCAACCTCGTGCCCTCGCAACACTTTAGCGCCCAACGTGAGAAGTCATCATGTGCAATGAAAATGCGAATGATCAAGCAACTTTTACTTTATAGGCACTGTAGTAGCTTTAAATGCTCGCTCACTTTCGTAGAAACAGGGATAGAAATGAACTGCTTATGATTGCTTATGAACTGCTTACCCGTAAAGTAATATCGTTGTGACATGAGGTTTCAAAAGTTACGGCGTGTTTCTCGGACGACATGCTTCGCTCGTGCTACCGCCCCATTTTCGCGCTCCCTTACTGCACCGATATCGCAGCCGGCGGATGTGGCCCCCTGTCGAGCGGTCGCAGAAACACCGCTGCGATGGGCGCGTGCATGCAATTGGCATAATTGCGTATAGCTTGACATAATAATGCCACGCTCGCACGGCCAGGACAGGCCGGTCGCTTAGGCAGGGGAGCATGAGTGGGGAACGAGCGGTAAAGGAGGGCAAAGTGATTCGGTGCTTTGTGGATGGGGAACGGGGAGTGATTTCGGGAGCTCGGTGACGGCGACTGCGGGTGACATATGGCTCGGCGCCATTGTCTGCCGTGCTCCAGTGGTGGCGGATAGGTCGCCTGCCCCGACTGGCGAGGGACTGCGTTCTTCTTTTGAACTGCGGGAGCGAGAGAAATAAGGAGGATAGCGGGGGAACTGGTGTGCATGACACAGAGGCTCCGCGCTATAAGTACATGCGCCTGCTCTCGGATGCAATGTATCTCTAAACATGGAAACATGTAAAGCTTATTATTGCGTAAACTCGCGCTCCACACACAGAAAAAGTGTTTCGGTGTAGAGGAAGCTGTAATGCATTTAATCACTGTAAAAAGCTGTATGTAAAACATTACTTTTAGTCATGGTTCATGTAAAGGTCCAGAATTCGAGGACCTTGCAGGTTTCATTTCTTATTATTGTGAATTTTTTCGAACATATAGTGCATGCGAGAAAAATAGTAGCTGTCATTGCTAAAATGCTTTGTTTAAGGCTCGCGTATATTGGGGCATGAGATCATATTTCTTCCTGCAGATGAGTATGAACATATTTAACGACGATGTTAGATTAGAGCAAAATTGCAATATATGCTGAATGCAGCTACCAGGTTATTTGTGCGATAATGGAACCAGTGTTCTCATTAATACGTAGTCGCTTTATACTGAATTTTGTTTTCTTATCACTGGTTTTTCTTTTTTTTCTTCCTTACAGGTGCGCCGGCTTCTTCAAGGTGAGACATTTTCGTTTACGCGTCACTCGAGCATGAATCGAATAGCATGACGAAACTCGCCAAGTGTGCCTGGTATACCCCACAGGGCTAAGTGAAAACAATGTAACCTACGTGCAGCGCTCTATCCGCCGCAACCGGCAGTACGTGTGCAAAGCCCGAGGGGCGGCTGCCAACGGCTGTCCGGTGGACAAGACGCACCGCAACCAGTGCCGAGCCTGTCGCCTACGAAAGTGCCTCGAGGCCGGCATGAACAGAGAAGGTCAGTTGATTAGGGCTGTTTTGGTAGACCTAACGTTCGGCCACACGTCGGGGGTTCTGTTTGCAGCAAATCAGGGTCTGCATTCACAATAGTTTTTTTTCGTGGTTAACATCTTAGGATTTAGGATGTCATAGGTTGCTGGCAGATCTAGCTATGCGAAATTTGCAGCATTTCCCCGCCAAGTTTCTTGTTTACTAATAGTATTGAACTAATGTCCTTTCGCAAAATGAACGCGGGCATGCTCCTAAAGAGTTGCGCGTAGCGTGACACAACCCTGCATAAGCTGATGAGCTTTCAACACGCAGTACTGTACCCGACCCCTGTGTCACCACATCACACCCCAATGAAAATTCTTATTCATCACCAATCAGTCACACGCGAGGTACATAGTGGTCAAAAACTTCAAGTCGCGACCCCTGCTTCCCGAAGATCCAGTGACCACGCATAAACACAATATCACACACACTGTCACGTGTTGAGCCGAAACGTTGAAGTTCCTCAAATAAACATTGATGCTCTTTCTTTAGCTCACGTAACTTAAGCAGGTCAGCCATATTGGCTAATGACATATTCCACATCGTGACTGACTAAAAAAATTAAGAATTTGACATGGCATATACTAGCGAAATAACAGGCGGGGACGAGAAGAAGAAACCTGGGACAATCTTCTAGACTGTTTGTAGAAGATCTTCTTGGCTGTTTCTTCTTCTGGTTGCTGTCTCTCATTTCGCTAGCGTCATGTCACGTTATTCCCAGTTATAGCTCACCCAACTTACCGCCTTAACCTAAATAACCTCTGGCAAAACTTTCAGTGAGTTTAAGCGTTTTAATAATGGCGCTGTTTTTGTGTAGAAAACTGAAAATGTAGGGAAAAGATTTTCCACAATAATGAACAGCACAAAAATACAAAAAAAAACCAGAAGAGGACTTTATTTGAATTTTGTAGGAACAGGTAATTTGGCAAGGCTGCTAATTTTTCTAACAAATTGCGTAAATTGTGACTCAGGAATGTTGTTCTTTTTTTCTCGTTTTACACCAGTGACAGCTGCTGGTGCAGAGTCTAGCAGTAGATTTAATACATCTCATCGCACTGTCTCATCAACATTACTTTCTGACTGCTTTGGCAAACTTTCTTTTGATGGAAAATGTAGTCCTGGATGGCAAATCACTCCGAGAACAGAACTCTGAAATACATTTGAAAGTACATTGTGGCCTTGACAGAATTTTGCACGCAATGACCGCACTTGCAGGGCTAGAACAATTATTTCGGTTTTTTCCGAAAGAATGGCTTTTTGCTATGCTGCAGCACTGGACGCCCATGAGCTCTATGAGGGCGATCTCGTTCAAATCTCTTGGCCATCGATACCTTATAAAAGACCTGTTTCACGACATTGACAACAATAATTAGCTGTACAGTGCCATCGTGAATCAGCTGTAATACAAAGGCATGCAGTGAGCATTGTTTGCCAGCAAGCACTGAATATAAGTATTCGTTCTGTGGCAATCTCTCGGCACAGCTGTTCAGCACGAGCGTGGACCGCGCAACTCGACGATACGCCGCCAGGTGGCCCTCTACTTGAAGGAAGGACATAGGCCCACGGGATTCGGCCTTCCTGTTCCCTCAGCCGCGCTGTCACCTGGAGCAGCCGCCGGCGTTCTGAGTGCAGCCGGAGCAGCGGCTGCTGCGGCTGCAGCGGCAAGCGTCGGTAGCCCTTTCGCCGCTCTGCATCCGGCGCTGCTGGGTTCCGCTGGTGTGACACCCGATGCAGCGAGCAGCGTTGCGGCCGCCGCCGCCTTTTACACGACGCCGTCGCTGAGGCCCCTGCCTGGAGCGGGACTCTGCCATCCAACGCCGAAGGTTTGTGCCATTGCTAAGGATGGAATTATGCGCTGAGCATAAAGCCGCATGTTGCCTACATGGTTGCACAATCACAGGTCTTTTATAAGCACCACCTTGTAGAGCATCGTTCATATATTCCATGTACTAGCTGAGAAAGTCTTATATCCCTGGACCTCTCTTCAGATAATTAAAGGGGGAAAAGGACTAGCTCCTCACCCCACGCACTTGCCTACTAGTATATGTCTTTCTTTGGCTTGTTTATTTTGACAGAAAATAAAGAAAAAGGAAGACGAAAACGTCCTAAATTGGTGAATTGATATAATAGCACGCATGTCGCACAGTGCTATACATGATAATCCCAAAATAATTCTCAACGTGGCAAACCTCCGCATGCGCAGTACCCTTACGAGTTCCCCAATGCCTTTCCTGAGACCATCTGCGAGGCTGCGGCGCGGCTGCTTTTCATGAACGTCCGGTGGATGAAGCACGTGACCGCCCTCAGTGCCATACCAATGAGGGATCAGGTAGGTGAGCCTTTGACTTGCATTTTCTCTCTTTCGTTCATGCGAGCAGTACCGGCCCCGTCGAGCACTGATTTGATAACCACGCACTCGATAAAGCGTTCGCTCGGTTGATAACGTTGCGTTGGGATAACATATACGCTATAAGTGCAATGAAAGTGCCCTTCCAGTCAATTCTAAGATACGAAAAGAACATTTACGAGCTACTTTTTGGGTCAGTGTGACAGATAGTGACGATGCCCCTTTCGGCTACGCCTGCAAGCAGTAATCTCTGCTCGTAACTCGTAATACGACAGCCGAACAACGTATTCCTGCTTTTTTAAGCACTGCACCGAATGACATGCACAGGCCTTCAGCTCTTCTTCATGGTGAAGCCTTCATATTGCTTAGAGTATCGTTCCAGTTACCGGCTCTGTAAGAGACGTGAATCGCCAGAGTTTCCACATACTTATTCATAATGCTGCAGTGAACTCAAAGACGACTTTCGGAGCAAGAGCACGTGTGCACGCAACACAAGTGCGTACTCGGGAAGTCAAGCTGATGCGTTGTATTCGATACAGTCTGTGTCGTGTTGTGCCGGCGCTTGCACAGAAAATTGCGCAAATGCCCGGTGCAATGCGGAATGGATCGTTAGAGGCAACCCTTGAGGAAAATGTGCTTTGTGGCTTGTGAAGCTAAGAATTAGTGCGGTGATACAAAGACTGGATGTGTGCTTTCACTTTCTATTTTTATGTCTGATCATTGGCATAGCTGTTAACAATTTACTGAACGTACTACAATTTATTGGACTAATATAATTGCTATAATAATGCTGTGCTGCCTATAGCCCGATAAATGGTCGATTTTCATACATAGCACTGGGAACTTTTGATTTTTTTTAACCAAGAGATGGCTGTAAAATCAGTGAGAATTGTTTGTTCATCGCACAGAGTATGCTCGAAACTTCATTGACAAATATATGCGCACTATGCAAGTTGGTCGGAGTTAATAATTCCTCCCGACTTACCTGGTTGCTGACTTCGGCAAAATTCCTTTCGCTCAGGTGTTCCTGCTGGAAGAGGGGTGGCGGGAAATGTTCGTGCTGTCGGCGGCGCAGTTTAACCTGCCCCTCGAGGTGGCGCCACTACTCGCTGCTGCAGGTAAGGATGGTGGAGAATATGATAATGTGGCAAGTTGGTACGAATTCAGTGCGATACAATAAGACGATAATCGTTGTGTTCGCGTGTCTTCAGCCTTATTGTCTCATTGCGTTACGCCGTTCGCCCATGAATGAACTACAATGAAGTGTAACATAATTAAGCGACTGCGTTACCATAATAATGTTGTTTTTGTAGTTCATTTTGAGGCGGATCAAACTGCTTGCGAATCATTTCTGTATGGCACTGGCTCTTATAGTCAGCGTTCTTTCTTTTCATTTACTCCCCCCCCCCCATTTCCTCCCCTTCTCGGGGGCACATCGATCGCTTCTGAAAAATAACGCAAACACGACTATCGTAAAACTGTCTTCGACTATAGCTTTCGTTTCCCAGAAATTCGCATATATTTTCTTGTACCTTTACGCTAAAATTGACGGCGCAGTTTCTTTTGTTTCATCACTTTTCGTCCTCTTTTGGTGCAGGCCTCTCCTCGGAGCCAACGACATCGAATCGCGTGGAGGCGCTCATATCGGATATACGAAACTTTCAGGATGTCGTCGCCAAGCTGAAGGACATGGGCTTGGACCCGTCTGAGTACACGTGCATGAAGGCCATCGCACTCTTCAAGACCAGTGAGTAGAGCGAAGTGTTTCTTTCATAAATTATCCGGCTAATACTTAAAAGCATCTATACTGCGAGACCCACAGTTCATACAGCTTGGTTTATTTAGCAGGTGGGAATTGCTTGAATAGTCTGCTGCAGCGAATCTGTTTCCCCGGCGCAAGACGTGTTTTGCGTTGCCAGTAAGACTGCACAGCTTTCTTAGTCAGAGCGAGTGACTGTAGATACCTGGCCTATATTTTATTAGAAACAATGTGCCCTTTCGCGGCTTCGGAAAAATCAGTCATAGGCAAGAAAAGTCGTAGAATAGAACTATAGGTTATCAATCTAGCAAGCTTTTAAGCATGACTTGCTTTTATACGAAATAAAATACGGAGGAAGCTGCGAAGCTCAGCACCTATAGGGCACCATAAGCTGTACCAAGTCGTTTGCGGATCTGCAGCCTAATTGAAACCTCATCACTCTTGTCGCTTTTTTTCTTGCTCCTTTCACTCAGACTTCCCGGGTCAGCCACCTGAATCGCTACCATTGAGGGATCCCGAAGCCGTGGGAGCCATGCAAGACCAGGCGCAGACGACCCTCATGCGCTGTGTCCAAACGGCGCATCCGACGCAGCCGCACCGCTTCGGCAAGATCCTGCTTGCCTTGGCGTGGCTCTCCACTGTGCCTTCGGCAACGATAGAAGAGCTGTTCTTCCGAAAGACCATTGGCACCATTCCCATTGCGAGGCTTCTCGGAGACATGTACAAGACGGGAGGCTTATGAACTGTTGATGGTATGTGCCGTTCAGCACACTGATAGATTATGTGAGCGTTATGTCTAATCCATTTACCCGTTATCGTAGATGTTTTGAATTGACAACGAATCGGTTTGAGCTCTCCGAGCAAATTATGTGTTTATCATAAGGTTTTTAATGAATCAGAAAAATATCTCGTTGCCCAGAACTTGCGATGGAGAGATTAGCTCGCATTTGTACGGTGCGAACGTGCTGCCGTGAGGTCATGCAGAATCCACGTGTCATTCGCGTCAGAACCGCGCTGGGAACGAGAGTAGTGCGAGGGACTGACGAGGTAAGCAACTTTACCAAGGTGCATGCAGCCTTATCCAAGCCGTGGTCACGACACGCGAGATGCTTTTTCACCTCAGAGGTTTTCGTTCTGGCAATACGGCTTGTCTACACACTAAACAAAAATGACCTGAAATAACCTCAAAAACTGGGTAAACCATTTGTCCTCTAGCGCACTACCTTTCCTGGGTTTTTTTTACCACCTACTACCGAGGTAAAAATTTACTCTCGTGCTAACTGAGTTTTTGAACGTAGGGAGAGTAGTAAATATTTACCCCAATGAGGTTTTCAGCGAGTATAGAGAGAGTAAATTTTTACTACCTTCACAAGGTTTTTGAGGTGATTACTGGGAGTTATTTCTGGTGGTAAAAAAATAAAAATTGACGGGTGCATTCGGCCAGAGACGACAAATTTATTGAATAGCAGAACTGATTGAATTTATTGAATGGCAGAATTGGTGACATATAGATTCACATACAGACAAACACGCACACACAACAAATGCAGAATAATACACCACTAGAACAGACTGCACGCGTTGCTCTACTACACTTCGACAATCCGGTATATATATAGGCACGACTTTTTGACCGGCCAAGTAGTACCGGTAGGAGAGCTCCTTTTTTCCATCGATTAACAACAACGCTTGAAGGTGCAAGCGTAAGCTTCAGGTGGGCTGCAGGGCACTAAATGTCACACCGACCTTTTATTATAAATCTACACGATCTCACCTTTTTGATTATCCAATAATTGCTTGGCACACCGGGCTCTTTGCCCCACGCGTGTTAGCACTGCTGATGCACAAGCCCACAAAATATACCCAAGTACGCACAAAGCATGGTAGCTCAATGATTTTCATTCAGCGACGGTGCACAAACACAGTAGCAGCACGTATTCATCACAACGGGCGTAGAAGAGCGGTCCACGCCTGCATACAAGCTGCGTACCGACGGCGTTCTAGGCCTTTTCGAGGAGCACGGCTATCCGATGAAACACAGCTGGCGATCACAGAACACATATCCTGTGCGAATTTCGTCGTCATTTCAGACACAAATGAACACGTCACCGCTATCTTACGGGGACGGGGCGGTGTATGCACACTTCTAACGAAAGACCACCGTCCGGGTTTTCTTCGTGCTCACCGGCCGCCGCTTGTTGGTTCCGTCTGCCTCTTATCGGCTTCGTGCTACATGTTTGAGAACAGTTGGTGCATGAGGTGGGCAATTCGGGCAGCACTTTACTTGTGCAGACATCGTTTACTGTTGAACAAAATATATGCGATGCTTCTTTCACCTGCCCCGGCGACACACTCACACTGGTCACTGGTGGCCGCGGCTCGGTGCCGACGACAGAGTGAAGCATCTTGCTTATTGCTTCTCCATCAGGCAAGCACGGACGATGACACCGGATTGATTTTGTTACCACTGGCAGATCTGGAGATATCCGCGAACTGGAGATATCCGCGACGTGCAGGTTCGGAGGCGCTCGAAAGCGCACTGTCGTTTGACGATGTAGGAAACACGTGAGATCCATCAGCCCAACCAGACACACAGATACCGAGCTTCTTGCACTGTCTGTCTCCAAAGCCACCGCCGAGCAAAAGCAACGATTTGCGAAAATATGCAGGACAAGTTTCCACAGCAGGTTTTCTTTCTTTTTTTTTCTTTTTTGAGAGCCCCCCCCCCCCCCCCTCCGTCTTTTTCCTTTTCTTTTTCGTTCAAAGGATGCTGTTCTCGCTTATTGTGCTTATGCTGCCCCCAGTTCCAGTAAAAGTGCGCTGACTCGAGGTCAGTCCAGAGGCACGGCGATGCAAAAAAGACAAAAAACAAAAAAAAACATCTGTGGGCTTCGCGTACCTTCAGTATTCACTGAGAGCGTCACAAGGGGGGTATGGGGCAAAAGCCGCCGAAGCAGCTGCACCTTGCAGTCACGTGGTAATAAACTCTGAAACGCAGGTTAAAAATCACGTGATAGAAAACTCCCTAAGTGGTAAAACTGGATTTTGACATCCTTTTACTACTTGCCTGAGAGGCGGTGGTAAAACTATGTCATGTACCATCTTTTACTCCTACGCGAGGTAGTAATTTTAAACGCGAGATAGTTTTCAGAGGTCATGAGCCGGAAAAACCCCAAACTCGGATATTTTTTGCTTACAGTGTAGATAGTGTTCGAGTTCTATCAAAATGACAGGTGGTACCACAGGAAAATGAATATGCTAACAGAACGGCCAATACTGCTTCACCTCCGAGCCAAGGCACCGTTTCGTGGTGCAAAGCACCAGTCACTGACGTCGGTGCTGGGTAATGTAACTCATGAGCAACAATACGTCACTGCGCAGATGAAAAGAACAGGTCAGGCGCAGCAGAGAAGCGCGGGGACGTGTTCTTTGGAATTGAAGTATTGACTTAATGCGAATGCATTGCACACATGCAGTGATATTCGCAAAATGGGATCGCCTTGGCTTTCTGCGAGAAATAGCGATCTTATTGGGGGGTGCAATTAAAGAATTTTAAAGAAGATTAGGAATAAAGAACTTAAAAAAGATTACAGACCTGGTAGTTGGCTTTTTAACTATGAGCATGACCAAAGACGGTGGCGCTATACAGAGTTTGAGTTTGGGATATTACCCATGTGACTGATCTGATTGATGTATTAAGGCTTGCTCCACAAGAAAATGTGCATTGCGCAGCGAATAATCGATCAAATCAGGAGTGAGCATAACCTGCATAATGCACGGCACTGCCGACAGTGGATCGTGCAAAGCGGAACTTTGCCCAAAATGTTTGGCGATGAAGTCGAGGACAAAAAAGCTCGGCTTTGAAGCAGAGTAACACTTATTAATGCGCTGATCATTTCATACGACATGTCTAGGTTAAACTGGAGCGCTAACGGTTTGCCTTGTGGCTGTAGCCGCTTATGTTTATCAAAAAATATTTCTAGCGAATTCCGGAAACTTCTCAGTCTTTTGATGCATGTATGCGTGCTGCTTTTTATTATGTGAATGCCATACACGAGCTTGCGGTCACACGCACGTTTTAAGTTTTTGCTTGAGATGCAATAAACGCTCAACTAAATTCACTTTTCACCACCTACTTTTACTTGTGGTCTAAGCTTCAGTTTATTCTGTTCTGCAATTCGCTTCCGTCTAAGGAAGGCCTGCAAGACAAGTTCAATTGGAAATGAATGTAGAATTCATGAACATCGTATACCTTTCACAAAAAGGAGGCGGAATAGGTCCAACAAGGCACGCCATGTCATGCACATTTGTGCATTTATTTAGTGAAAAATGAACACTTGATGTAGATCAAAGAGCTGTATCTGTATTATTGCATCGTGCGTTAAGTATGTCAAAATTCTTTCGGAGTTTTACGTCAGTTAAGCAATCATATAGATACAGCTTATAGAAGGTACATATCATCTCTATCTTAGTCATCATCATCATCATCATCATCCTGGCTACGTCCACTGCAGGACAAAGGCCTCTCCCATGTTCCGCCAGTTAACCCGGTCCTGTGCTTGCTGCTGCCAATTTATACCCGCATAAGCACAACGAAAAAAAAAAAAAAGAGCTCTGGTTGTTTGGTCTGGCGTTCGTATGAAGCCCTAACTCAGCTGCTATCATAAGACATACAGGTATTTTGCTGAAGTGTGTACTAAAGCCCACTTTTTTAGTGTAGCAATATTTAAACTTAAGTCTAGTTGTAGTTTACGGTTCCCTCAACGATTCCAAAACATACTGAAGGTGCTTGATCTGTATAACATCCGTACTCAGCGATGTGCGCAATATTTTTCCACGAAGCTCACAAACGTCATCTCAAAGAAAACTTGGCTACTACAGTTCTGCTAGCAACACGACGTAAAAGTCTTAGCGAAGACTAATTTAGTTTGCTGGCAGGTGGTGAGCACGCCCGACTATTTTAAAGCGTCTCGAGCAGCTCTAACTGCTGCTCCTCCTCGTTTCGCATGCACGTAAAAGCGCCCTTTATCATGCACATACACGGTAAAACGTCCGAACGCACTGTCTGCAAGTGGGCCATTCGTTTTCTAACGTTGAGTGAAGTTTGCGTAAATTACCTTTCGTAATGACGGGGCCTCCATTCTATTTTTGGGCACAGGCCAAACAGGAAGCAGCTAAGACTGCACCTGCTCGTGCTCCAGAGGGAGGTTAAGTAGGTGAAAGTTTGTACAGAACGCGTCTGTCAAACTCGTTTCACCTAGCGGGTCGCAGTATGAAGAAATTTAGTCCTACGAAGGCAGGGGTAGCGAAGAAGGCTGGAGTTAAGGGTTGGGGGAGGCGGTGCTGGCATCCGGAGGAAGACGTCAGCTTTGGCGGCCGTTTCAAAGAAGCCATTTCCCATATCTCATCTCCTTCCCTTATATTTGAAGTACATATGACGTCATGATTCCAGGAATATTGATACCAATTTCCAAGATGACTGAATTCCGTGCCCTCATAGGAAAAAAAAGTCATGGGGCGAAGCCAGTCGTGTGCAGGCCGCAAGCGAAATGTCAGCGTTTCCTCGTCTCCGTCCTGTTTCAGCGCTGTTTCTTTTTTCTAATTTAACGGGTCACGTGTTTCAGACCCCTGGCACATATGTTTGGTTTAGCTAACATGGCCTGATCGTCATGGTATGCGCTCATTGCATACACAGCTGCAGCGCTTGAAGATATGCATCGGTATGCTGCGTATTAAAACCAC